CACACACACACACACACACACACACCCATCAAGTCTTGATTCTTTAGACATCCATGGCTGAGCAAAACCTCCATTTCAATCCAATCCTATGAAAAAAAGTCATCATCTTTCAATGGCCCATTTCCTTTTCCGGCAGAAATCCGACTTCCCAGCTCAGATCTGAAGTGTGAATTTGCCATTTGTTGCCTCTAATTTTCAGATCTTATTAGAGGGCAGAAGGGACGGCAATGGTGGCTGGGCCTCGGGCACTGAAAATGGGGAATCATGTGAGCCACAATCTGAAGCACGCTTTGCACCACGAAAACCACTCGAAATCGTCGAACAAGAAGCACGAGCCGCCCCACAACAAGAAGAAGCAGCAGACTCTCGGCATTCTCGCTTTCGAGGTCGCCAACGTCATGTCCAAGATTATTCACCTCCACAGGTCCCTGTCCGAAAACGAGATCCTCGGCCTGAAAAACGACATCTTGAGCTCAGAGGGCGTCAAAACCCTCGTCTCCGGTGACGAAAAACAGCTCCTGGAGCTCGCCCTCGAGGAAAAGCTTGATGATTTGAACGCTGCTGCTAGTGTAGTTTCAAGATTAGGCAAAAAATGCACTTTACCTGCCCTGCAGGGCTTTGAGCATGTTTATGGGGATATAATGTCTGGGGCTATTGATACTAAGGAGCTCACTTTCTTGGTTAAGGACATGGACAGCATGGTCCGGAAAATGGAGAGGCTCGTGAACTCGACCGCTAATTTGTACTCGGAAATGGAGGTTATGAACGAGCTGGAGTCCGCCACCAGGAAGTTTCTGCACAACCATCATGAGGAGAGCCGGAAGGCCTTCGAGCAGAAGCTGACGTGGCAAAAGCAGGATGTGGGCCACTTGAAGGATGTTTCCCTGTGGGGCCAGACGTACGATAAGGTCGTCGAGCTTTTGGCCCGAACTGTGTGTACGGTGTATGTGCGAATTCACTGCGTGTTTGGAGATTTCCACTCGGGAGGTGATATTTGTAGTGCCTCGGTTTGTAAGTCGCAGGTCGGTTTTAGCGGTAGCTTTAGACGGGCGAAGTTGGATCCGATGCCGAAATCTGGACACCTTAATATGGCGTCCAATGTTAGCAAAGACGCTGGTAATTTGAAGAAACCGGTTTCATATTCATCCAAGAATAACAATAATAATGGTCATCAACGCAGAGGTGCAGTTTCGGAGTTTCCCAAAAATTTAGGGGTTCCCTTGCGTGCGGAACATTTAGGCCCGGCGTGTTGCTCGGTCCCGGGGAGGATGTTCTTGGAGTGCTTGAGTTTAAATCATTCCATTTCAAAAGTGGATTATGATGATGATGATGATGATGATGGTGATGATGATCATGCTACTTGCCATGGTGAAAGCAGCCGTATTTCGGGCTTTTTGAGTGCAACCAGTGGCATGACGACCGGGCTTTCGGGTTTGCTTCTCCATGCTACCAGTCGGGACCACCCCACCAGGGACAGTTTGGTCAATTCCTCAAAATTCGGGCCCAAAGGACGGCTGATGGGCCACGCAGCCCCAAGTTCAGTCGGGGGCTCGGCCCTTGCCTTGCACTACGCCAACATAATCATTGTTCTCGAGAAATTCCTAAAATACCCCCACCTTGTCGGGGACGAGGCCCGTGACGATCTTTACCGGATGCTTCCCACGAGCCTGAGAAGGGCAGTGAAGGTGAGCTTGAAGAGCTACTCAAAAGAAGTTGCAATTTACGATGGGCATATCGCACACGGGTGGCGGGAGAGGCTCGAAAGGACGCTCGGGTGGCTGGGCGTTCTCGCCCATAACACGATGAGGTGGCAGAGCGAACGTAATCTCGAGCAGCAGCAGATCGTGAAGCGGACGAACGTGCTTCTTGTCCAAACGTTGTATTTTGCAGATCGGGAGAAAACCGAGGGGGTTATTTGTGAGGTGCTCGTGGGGTTGAATTATATATGTAGGTACGAGCAGCAGCAGAACGCGTTGGCGGATGGGGGCAGTAGCTTCGATTTTGAGGAGTGTATGGAGTGGCAAATGCAGTTCAGGGGTTCGTATGATTCTTGATTTGTCTCTGTTATTTTTATTTTTCTTGATATTGTTGGTGGATGTTGTTAATCAATATGGGGTGACTTTAGGGGGGAATGTATTTGTTATGTGCGGATAGTGTTGGTGTACGTTGTGAATATGATGACGATGTGTTTGATGTTAGAATGGACTTTCCACGGTGCGTTTTGCTGTAAGAATTGAGGCGTTTTTGTAGGTTATGAAAGTATATATTGTTTTAACGGTGATTCTGCATTTGTGATTACACAGTATGGCAGTAGCTTTGGTGATTCTGCATATGTGATTCTTGGTTAACTGAATTTGAGTCACTACTTTGTTGTTGTATATGGTTTTTGTAATTGCTGAAATTCGAATGGACAAGTAATCTAACTACAATATACAATAGTAGCAGCTGCTATACAAATTTGTAGTAATAATAGGATAGAAGCTCGGCTCACAATGATGACAATAGCGTGAATGTCAGTATGTGGGGTTGAAAACTGAATGTGCTCCGTGGATTTGTTGAAATGGAGGAGGAGATTTTGGCTCGCACCCGCCTCAATTCCCCTTCCCCAAGCCTTTGGACCAAGTTGGATTCGATTTGTTTTAAAAAATGTTAGAAACTCGCCGGAGAAACAACACTCGGTTGCCGGCGAGATCACGGTCAAAACACAAGACACAAAAGAAAAAACTCATGCCAACAATCTTGTTTTTCGGTGTTGTTGAATTGATGATAGCTTTTATTGTGCTATTTTATTGCCTATATAGAAAATATAAGGCCCATCAATCAAGAATACATGGAAACTATAATAAGGCAAATATTCACATCTGATCTAAGGAAACAATTAGGGAAAACAAATAAACTAATTTAGGTGCACAAGGGTTATATATATCCTATAATAGAAGATTTCCTACAATCTGCTCCTCCTAAGCCTTGTGCACATTGGTGACATTGATCAGGCCGATTTTAGAGCACAATTCATGAAATTTGGTCTTCTCAAGCAACTTCCTCAGAATGTCGCCCAGTTTCTCTTCGTTCTTGAGGAACTCGACATTAATCAAGCATTCCTTAGCATACTTCCAAACAAAATGATATTTCACACGAATGTGCTTGCTCTGTTCATGAAGTACTGGGTAGTTGATTAAGGCAACGACAGACTTGTTGTATACCCTCAGCGTTGGCACTCTCGGTGCTGATCCCAACACACCGTCGCAAACGGTTGTAGTGTCAACGGTACAGTTTGTCTTGACTGATTAGTTGCACTAGTACATTTATGTATTGAATAGGATCCCAGAGAGGAGAAGTTCGTTTTATACTGATCGTCGTAAACGAACTAGGCCTCGGTTAATTACTGCGTTCTCTTAACCCGTAAGATAATAAATAGACATATATATGCAGTAAATATTATTTTGATTCACTTGGGTGAGGTTCAGTTCGCTGAATTAATATTCCTACTGTCTTGGGTATTATTCATGTATGTATGATGTGTTATTAGGATATTTAAGGTCACCATGTATATTTATTTTGATGATGTCCCCGGAGTGAGTTCATGAAGGATTATTATGCTAAACCCTGCAAGTTGATTAAATTCTGACATAGCAATAATGTAATGAACGAGCACTAGCTTCAGTAAAATAATAAAATAATTAATTAATTCTTGATTATAAGTAATTGAATTAATTAATGGACATTATATCTTAAACATGGTGAGATAATTCGGGTAATTATAATTGAAGTCTCAATTGTAAATTGAACTAAGAAAAGGGAGTGCAATAATATTATGTTGGTGGCCCATAATATTATTTAATTAATTAGAGTAGTAGGTTTGGCCCACAGTTAGTCTAATTAATTAAGGAGTCATATTCTTAATCTCCTATGGGTCACTACTGTAGCTCTATATATACATCGTTAAACTAATGAGAAGAGAAGAGTTGGGACATAATTCCACACGCATAAGCTGCGCGCCTCTCCCTCTCTCTCTCAGTTCTCATTCGAGTTTTATCTTCTTTTTGTTGCTCCACTACTACAAGTTGAAAAGGTGTTTTGGAATATACAACAGCAGATCCCGCAGTAATTGAGATACATATATTTATCAATCACGTGATCAACTGGAGCAGATCCCGTGATGAGCCCGACCCGCCGGACCGTCGACCCGACGAGCCAGGACCGCCGCGAAGTTACCGCGAAGCCGCCGTGAGCTGATCGCCGCGACCAAAAACCGCTGCAATCCGACGCCGCGCAGAAACTACACGCGCCACATGACCCGACCCGATCGCGAGCCCGACATTTCGTTCGTGATTCCATCCTGTTTGTGTGTTCATCCCGGTCAATCAAGATCAGCCAAATCGCCATAAATTTTTAGGCCGTAAGTTTTCTACGTCAAACTGTTAGATCCGCTGCGCATAGGTTTACGTTTGCTAATGAGTTCGTGATTTGTACATAACAAGATCCTCACAGATCCCAATACCTTCTTGGACTTCGACCAGCACTCACAGGCCCAATGGCTCTTTTTCAGTAATGCATGCATTTTTCATCGGTGGGTCTGTGTGAATTTGACGGTTCGCCAGAAGACGATCCCTTGCGACTATGCCCGTGCCAGCGCCTGCGCCTACCTCTTATGTTCGCACTGCCGTCGGATATCTCATGTTCTTTATGCTTAGCATCTAGCTAAAGATGTTATTCGAGCAGAGCCAAGTCGGATATCTCATGTTCGAACTTGTGATTATTTAATAAACAAACTTGATTAGATTTTCGAGCTTTGCCTTTTTGAAGTGCATGAAATAGCTGAGTTCTAGCTTTCACGAGCAGAAATGAGTTATGTTCGTGAATAGTTCGAATAATAGCTCAATGTTAAGCAGCCCCGGGTAAAAAAAATTTCTGGCTACGCCCCTGTCTATAACCATATTTTTTCACTCTCAGTAACTCATATAACTTATATGGTTTCGCCACAATATTAGTCGCATCAATCATGAGCCACTATAAGGTTTTAGCCACAGCCAGCGGCGCGACCTAAACTCCAACTATCGCTAGACGCCTTCCAATCATCAAAGTGTCAGTCCTTAGGAAGTCTGGCGGGCCGTTACTGGCTATCTTTCGCCGCATGTGTTCTGATCTATATCTATTGATCATTTGATCCGTTCTCGGCCTTTCACCGTGACCCCCTTCGGAGCTTCCACCCACAGTCGTCACCATTCTAGTCTGTCGTGGGAATATGATTTCCATAATATTAGGGATGTCAATGAAACCCGTAGGGTCGAGTTACCCACGGGCTACCCGTATTATCGGGTGGGGTAAACCCGAGATAATCGGGTTTTGGGTCGGGTTCGGGTTGAATTATGCTGCCCGAACCCCGGGTCGGGTAGGGTGGGGTATAGTAGAAAAACTCGTTACCGACCCGATTACCCTACCCGTTTACCCGCAACCGTTGAATCTTATATATACACATATATATGTATTTATAACTTATTATAAATATAAATGTAGTCATGTGTTATTAATATTAAAAATTATATTATTTAATATAAGTTTGATTAATGATTAAATTTTATTTTATTTCTTATGTTTTTATAATCAATTTTTGTTAATTGTACAATAAAAAATTTAAATACTTAATTTTTAAATATAATATTATTAAATTGACTATACAAGATAAATAATTATATCTCATTATTTATTTCAAAAATAATATAATTTTTTTTCTAGTTTTTTATTGTCGAACTTAGTTAATAAATTGTGTGTTACATACTTACATTATAATTAATTGTCAAAATTATTTTATTTTATTTTTTAATATGAAACGAGATGGATCGGGTTAGCCCAAATTTAAGAACCTGAGTTACCCGTTTATCCGACAAAAACCACTAACCCATCGAGTAAACCCAACCCGAACCCGAACCCGAAGATCACTAA